GAGAGAGAAGGAAAATTGCATGGAAATGGAAGGAGACCCTCACTTACCTCTTTTTGTCGTTGTTGTTGTTGTTGTTGTTTGGTGAGGGGGGGCCTGGAACCTAAGCATGGTRTCGGCCATTCTCAGCAAATCACGTTGAAACCATGATCCTGAAAGTCAAAAAAGCAGAGTAAGCTTTATCTACTTACACCATACTATGGTTTGAATGCTCYCTCTAAAAGCCATAATGAAATTCAATTGACATTATAGCAGTATTAAGAGGTGGGACCTTTATAAGATGATTAGGTCATAGACACTCTGTCCTCAGGGAGGGATTAGTGCCAGTATTATAACAATGTGTTAGTTATCGTGGGAATGGGTTCTTGATAGCAAGGCATATTCAGTGAGATTTTTCTGTTTCCCAAGTGCTCACTTGTCCTTCCACTATTTTATAGCACACACCTTCCCTACTTCTCAGCCTCCAAACCATCAATCAAATAAATTTCTTAGTCTGTGGTATTTTGCTACAATAAAGGAAAATGGACCAAGACACTAAAAKATTTTCATTTCACTTATGTCAAAAACTGTTAGATTTGGTTTTATTTCATATTTATTAAAACACAAGTTCAGAATCAAATCCGTCACATCTGTACTAGAGCATTAACCTTATGACTAAATTCCCTGTCACACAGTTCTTCCTATTGTAATCCTTTATCCACCAAAGATATGAAATTCTGGGTATGATACATATGGTTATGTTTAGGTAGAAATTCAATAAATTTACATATTAAGAATTAAGRAATGTATAAAGATTCAATGTTTGGATTCACTCARTGAAAAATATATTTGTATCCTAATTTGTAGTCAACCAGCTTTTCAGGAGGCCTTGACCCTGAAATCAATGGCAGCAGATATAAAAGAGGCCAAATCCTTAAAGAATAAATTATTTTATTAAGAAACTGATATTTTGTTCCATTTTTGTATGATCCAATTATATAGTCTTGTTATGYTCCTGTAGATAGCTACTGCACAGAGAGGGAAAAAGAGAAAAGAATGTATATCTGAACAATGAACCAGACAAGATCTTATGTCTTCAGTGGTATGACTGACTAGGTAGTCTTCATCAAGTGCCAAGTATTCTTTAATAATAAATCAGTTGTCCAGTAAACAATAAATGACTTTTATTTTAGTTTGAAGATAGGGATGAGGGAAGTTATTTCAATTTTACTTAATCTGGGAGGGGTCACATCAATGGCAAAGGATTAGCAGCAAGAGGAATAGCATCTTCTGTAACAAAATGGCAGGCAGCCACAGCAGCCAGAGGTGTATCCACAGCTATAGCGGGAACCACAGCCATATCCACAGCCAGAGCCATATCCATATCTAGAGCCATAGCCACAGCCATATCCATAGCCAGAGCCACAGCCACAGCCAGAGCCACAGCCACAGCCATATCCACAGCCAGAGCCATATCCATATCTAGAGCCATAGCCACAGCCATATCCACAGCCAGAGCCATATCCATATCTAGAGCCATAGCCACAGCCATATCCACAGCCAGAGCCATATCCATAACCAGAGCTGTATCCACAGCCAGAGCCGCAGCCGCAGCCTCCACAGGAGTTCCTGTAGTAGTTGCTGCACATGGTGACAGGAGGTGAGGTTTCAGTGGAGGGGTTGGAGGATATTTCTGAAGTTGAATGTCACCCAGTCCCTCAGGACCTTTATATACTTACAGGGTTGGGTGTGTCATAGCTCACATGGACTCTGTTCTCTCATTTTACAAACATGTTCCTAAAATGAACCCATTCTGTGTACAATCATTTTGCTAGGAATTCATAATTTACTTATTGCCCTCTTAGGAATTTTCACAAGGCTTAAAAGAAAATAAGATACATTAACTAAACACCCAAGCTTAAGTGACCATATGTTACTTTTATAATTGCATTTTATGAACATGACATAGTGCATCACCAAAATATGTTTGGCCTCTAACTATGTGTTTATCATTCTGCTCTTTCAAAATCTTGGAAATGGTCTATTATGTAAGATGTAGTTACTATTAATATTTTTCTCCTAATACCCTTCTTTTTTTCCTTATTCTTACTTTTTTCATTCTTCTTCTTGGTTTCTTTATCTCCTTTCCTAAAACTTTGGTATTTCCATCTCAATCATTCTAAAACACTATTCACAGTCTTTAGGCAAAGAACTGAGTAATTTAACCTGCTCCATTCACCTCCTAAAACATCATCCTTCTCTATGAAGAAGGTCTGTCCATCACATCCTTTTTCAGGCAGGTTGTGACCATGCCTGCCTTCTTTTGGAAAAGTGATTTTGTTCACTCCGGATGGATCACTTCTGGAAGACTTATTATTAAAACAAAACAACAACAACAACAAAAATGGATTTTCCAAGATTTTTGTGTAGATGCCACAGGCCAAAAGCTTTTTTGTTAAAGTTCAATACTTGAGAGCAAGGGCATTTCTAGTTTAACTCAGAGTACTCCATAGGTCACTCTCATATTTGTGCTGTATAACCATGTTTCCCACTAACATGTAATCAGTCAGTAATTAAGGTATTCATTCTCCACAATATTTTCTTTATTTGAATGTAACCTATTTTCTCTTAAAAGCATATTAAAATAACATCTACTTGTCATACTTTTTATTGGATTACTTACAATTATAACATTTAATAAAAGTTAGCTTTACTATTTACATCAAAAATTTTCTATAAGTTTTTATTTTGATGTGAATATATTACCTTCAATCTGAACTTCTCAAGGTACACAAAAAGAACTTAAACTAAAAATCTCTGAAACAGTCTGTATCCAATCAAGAACTACTATTATCATTAAACTCTGTGAGGTATTCTAGAACTGTGGGAGAATCCTCAAGAAAGAACAATCTTGAGTATCATACTCACTTGATGATTATGTTGGAAAACTGTTGTGCTATCGTAAACAATAGTRTTATGGTTTAGATCTGGATTATACCTTAAAGGCTCATGTGTTAAGGCTTGGTCTCCAATGAAGCAATATTCAGGGGATGAGGAGGCTTTGGGGAAGTGATTGTATCATAAGGATTCTGACCTTCTCAGTGCATTAATCCATTGATAGCTGAATTGACTACAGGGAGGTCTGGAGGCTGTAGAAGATACAACTTGATCAAAAGGAATGGTTCCTTGGGGTGTGCCCTTGGGGACTGCATCTTGTCCCCAGACCCTTTTTCTCTCACTCTCTCATTATCTCCCTCTTTCCTGGACACCATGAAGTGAGGAGTTGCTCATTATGCCCTTTTACCATGATGTTCCTGGCCTGGAGCCAGATAACCATGAACTGAAGTTTCTGGAACCTCTGAAACTGATCCAACGTTAATCTTTCCTCCTCTAAGTTGCTTTTCTCAGTTATTTGTCAGAGCTATGAAAAGCTGACTAACACAAACACTATATTGTGCACTTAAAAATTTGTGAAGAATGTAGCTATCAGGTTAATTATTTCTACCTCTGGGGGAAAAGCAAATAGAATATTAGGAAACTTTGAAAAGTGATAGATATTTTTATAACCGTGATTGTAGAGATAGATGGTTTCATAGGTATACGTTTGAACACAGAAAATTGTATATGTTAAACATGGGTACTGTTCTGCATATCAGTGACATCTCATTAAAAAGTTTTTTTTGAGAGAAAGAAAGAAAGAAAGAAAGAAAGAAAGAAAGAAAGAAAGAAAGAAAGAAAGAAAGAAAGAAAGAAAGAAAGAAAGAAAGAAAGAAATCATGTTCTGTGGTCACAGAGAAAGCAGGAGCAATGTTTGGAAGACAGGTGGTAATTAAGAGGTCATCTCCCTCCTCCACGTCCTGCCTCTTCTACCTCCTCCCAGCACTGCCTATGAAAATATTAGAAAATCTTTCAAATTTCACCATTTAAAGTCCTATACCTGTGCCTTCTTCAATGTTCAGGCACATTCTCTAAGGAGAAAGCTGAATAGTGTGCTTACATCTAAGGAGGAATGCTGAAAGAAATCTTATCTATTATCACAAGGCACATGTTGAAGGGTGAGTTTGGACCAGAAAGGCAGTAATTTGGTAACTGATACAGTCTATCTTCTAAGTTCCAGAGGCTCAGTAGTACAAAAAGCTTTCCCCTGAAAACAGTTTTCATGATATGATTGAGATTTGTACTAATTGTGTGACCGTGGACAATGTTCTCAACCTTATGACTCTCAGGTTTTTGTTTCATTTTGTTTGGTTTGGTTTGTGGTGCTGGGGATTGAGCCCATGGCGTTGTGCATATGAGGCAAGCACTCTACTAACTGAGCTATAGCAGTTGATACAGCTAGAATTTAGAATTTTTGTCAAGAGGCCCAGAGAGATTACATTCTAAATATAAAGGATGAAACACAGATTCTCGTTTATCACTGACAAAACATATTCTATTTCTTTTCCCCCCTTTCATTTATTCAGATATATATATCTCAATACTTTTCATAACAAACTTTCAAAGGTGACCAGATTCCCCCAAACAATGAACTACAATGTGATTGAGTTCATTAAACATTGCTAAACCATTTTATATTATCCAGTGTTTTATAAATATAAATAATCAAGCAATTTGTCTAGGGGTTGGCTCTAGCATATTTTAAAACTTAGTAACCTCATGTAAATCCCTATTACGAACTGAAATTACTATTGAAATTACCTGTAGCTAATTTGAGAACATACCTCCTATTAAATAGAGAGAAAATACTTTTTTTGTTGTTTCCAGACAGTCACAGAAATGCTATGTAAAAGCTAAGTCAGGCCTTCTTTTCAAGTATGTATACTATGGAGGAGTTCAGTAGAGATAAGTAATAAGTTATTGCAAAGCAGCCTTCCAGAATCACGAGATCATWCACTAAAAGTACTCCAAGAATCACACTGATGGCAAATATAGGTTTCCCCTGTTTACTCCCTTTCTGTTTGTAAGATTTTATACTTTAATTCACCATTTAAAATCCTATATATTTATGATGTGCCACATGATCTTATGCTCTATGCATACATTGTAGAAACTCTAGATTAATCTAGTGAACACATGCATCATCTCAAATATTTATCATGTTTTAGTGGTGAGGACACTTACAATCTGCTTTATTAGCAAACATCCAGTATATAATTCAAGTTGTTAGTTCTACTCACCACACTGATCAATAGATCAGCACAACTTATTCATCTTATGGCTGTTGGTTCATAATCTTTGATCAAAACCTTCTCTTTCTCCTACCAACAGCTCTAATTATCACCATTCTATTCTCTGTCTCTATGAGTTTGACTTTGTTAGRTTGCACATCTAAGTGAGATCTTGTAATGTTTGTCTTTTTTTGCCTGGTTTATTTCACTGAATATTTTTTCAAGTTCATCCATATTACCATAAATAACAGAATATCTTTATTGTTTACAAAACTTGATAAATATTCCACTCTGCACATTTCATTTAGTCGCTCATGTACTGATGGGCACTGAGTGTTACTCCATACCTTAGCTCTTCTGAACATGCTGCAATGAAGAAGGAAGTGCAGATAAACATGCTCTTAGGATCTGTACCCAGAAGCACACCTCCTCGATCATATTTTAGTTCTATTTTTATTTTMTCATAGAATACCTGCTCTGTTATCCATCATGGCTCTTCTAATTTATATCACCATGAACTGTGTAGAGGGTTCCCATTTTAAAATATCTTATATATATTTTTTTCTTTTTCATAATAGTCATTCTAGCAGGTGTAAAGTGATATATCAGTGTTGTTTTAATTTGCCTTTCCCTGAAAACAAGTTATATGTCTATTTACCACTTAAAAACAAATTATTATGATCCATTGTCCATTTTAATTAGGTTATATTTTTANATGTATAGTTTGCAAACAACCCTCCCTGTCATTTGTTATTATCTTCATATTTTATTTTTTCCTTTGCCATGCAGGAGTTTTTTGGTTTGTTTTGATWAGAAAGTATAATCCATTTACATTTAAGGATTAGGTATGGACTTCCTGGTGGCATTTCTTACATTGTTTTCTGCATCATATTTGTTCCTTTTCTGTCTGTCTTTGTGATGAGATGATTTTCTATGATGGTATGTGAATCCCAGAGTACTTCCTTATATTTCTTTGAGAACTGAAATAGACCCTGTTTATTATTGCATTATCCTTGACCACACCCATGAATTCTTCTACCAAGAATTTACTAATCTGGCCTCTCTCTTTCCCTTGCTCAGGGCTTCATTTTTCTACATGCATTCACAGAAATACYAGCTCTGACAGCAGGTAGATTAGATCAAAGCTCACCATGAATKCGATACTCTTCTGTCTGATGTTACAAAGGATTGGGCATTGTTTTCCTGGATTTCCAGGCCACAGTCGAGTTAGGTTCCCTAGACTGTATCTTCATTTATTCTATACTTACAGAATCATTAAATTCCAAAGTAGAGGTGACTGATAAAAAYCAGTTAATTCAGCATTTTTTCTGAATGTGTAACTTGGCTCTGTATTCTTCGTTAAGTAGAGATCTCAACTTTTGGATGGTCTTAGACAGTGGAAACAAAGGGAGCCTATTCCATTTTCACCCTCCTCTAACCATTCTTTTTAATTCTTGCTTTGAAAAGTCTTTTTTCTCTTT